CAACATATGTCAGATATGCAGAGCCACATTAGACACTGTTGGCGGTGGTTGTGAATGGGTTTGATCAAATCCACAAATCAATCTATGAGAAGATTTAAAAGGACCTCTCAAACTATGGATACAGCTCTTTTTGGGGGGGTTAATTGTGAGTCATTGTTTAAGTTGAAACAAAGATAGAATCTCGTTACTTTACATGCATTCTGTGCCAGACCTGTTAAAGAAGAACGTGGCTATTTAACCTCTTAAGAATCTAAAGATTTCTAATCTATTTACGTACGTACTCTGGACATTGCTAAAACTTTGCATAATTTCTTATTTACTGTATCATTTCGATACTTGTGAAGGGTCTTCAGGGTTTTTTAAGGCTAATCTCCTCCTACCCTGGACCATAACATTCTCTTACCCAAGCCAAAAAGTTTTGGTGCATAAACTCAGAAGTTAGAATTGAATGGTTCTATCTACAGGATGGAATATTTAAAGTCAAACACAACCACAGATCTAATTTATATTCCAAACATTGTGAGGTTGTTAAAGACACGGATTAAATAAAACAACTCTTACCTTTTGGAAAGAATCCTGATAAATGTTTGCCGCCAGCTTTAGTTTTAGTGCTAAACTGACAGTGGCATAATAGATGTTTTCATTTAGATTACTCATCATTTAAAAAAAAGGCTGCAGATTCAGCCGAACTACTAAGCAGCTGGACTTCCTGAAACTGGGCAGGCGCTCACTAATAGTATTTCAGATTGTAAACAGCCTTACTGTTAAATCCAACACTGGCTAACTACAGACCACATTCCCCAGATTTCAGCACTATACGACAGTCTATTGAACTTCTATGACAATATTTTTTTTCTATTTTATTTCTAATGTAGCATAATAGTTTTTTTTAACTGTAAAGCAATACAAATTGCTAAGGTATAATGCTCTCAAATGAGTACAGGCTTTTTACTCCAGTTTGTTTTCAATGATTTATATTTACATGGTTGTGTTACATTTTTTAAAAACAGATGTTTTACATCTGTGATGCTTATCTGCTAAAACCTATAGCTGGATGTGAAAGTAATTTCGTTTTGTCAAATTTCTTTCAAAAGAGAATAACGAAAAGTCTTTCGATAGTACTTTTTGTCTTTAATGTCTTCCGAAATAGATTTGGGAAGGTTTTTCAAGTGAAACAGCTTTAAGCAACAGAAATGAAAAACCAGCCTAAACCCACGTGTGTTGTTTAACCATGCTCAGAAGTGAATAGCTCAGGCAGTCTGCAGTTGGATGGTACTCATTTAAAAAGTTCTCTCTGACATTTCTTGAAACTAAAGTCCTGCATTTAAAAACTATTATTAGGGGTTTATATTTTATTCCAAGTCCAATTAAATCATTTTGTTGAAAATCAGCCAGTGCCCACAGTAATAACTGTGGACAGTAATAACAGAAGCAGAGGTATGCCACCGAAACAGTGGGCAGTGGGTTCAGGCTCATAATCTGATCAAATGTTGACTTTTGTCCCTGTTGCTCGATTTTTGTGTACAATTATGAGTTGGTTATGAGCTGAATATGAGGACCTAAACAGCTCACTGTGATAATTAAATCCGTTTGGCTGACAAACCAGAGGGCTGTAAACACCATCTATAAACATATTTTGAACTTCTGGCTGCGCTGTGGGGTAAGTGTGATCAAAGCTTTGTGGCACCGCTAATCCAAAAAATCTGTTATGGATGTTCAACACAGCCGTGACAGAAAATATTGGAAATGAAAAGACATCTCCCTCAAATCAAAGCTAGGTTTTTTGCTTACAGAATATGTACTGTGAGGTTGTGTGAAATTTGTTATTTTCATGGGCAATCTGATGAAGAATCTTGAATAATACATTTTAAAGGGAGTCCAATTCTGAGTCTCCTGAACTGTGTGACTGGGTGTCGAGTTCTTAGTTGGCGCTCACAGTCAAATGCACAGAAATCTCTTTATAGATTACAGGAAAAGTGATGCTGAATACTGATGCTGTCAGCGGCTGGCACTTTCTGCCCTGTGAGCAATTTGGACCTGGAAATCTGACAGACCCTCAACGGCTGCAGATGTATGAGCTTGTCATCAGAGGGAGAAGCAATGATTTATAAAATCTGGCTACCCAAAAAGAGTAAAAGATGTAATACAACCCTCTCATTGTTTTTTGGATCGTTTGGTTTTGAACTTTTCCCATTACAACCCCCCAGGTGTGATTTGTCAATCACACGACTCCCTCACTGAGTTTTGTCAGAGGGGCTTTTTACAGAGTTTTGTATACCATAAAGGATTTTTTGTTGAGCTTTCTCCTTAAATTCAATGTGTCAAACTGGGATAGAAAGACATGCAAGTGGCCCAAAACTCTACAAACAAGTTCCACAGAGGACAGTGTGTCTAAGATTTTTTTTAAATACTTTTTTAAAAACACATTTTTACATTTTCATCAAAGAATGCAACATGGCCTCAGATTCCAAATGACAAATCAGAGTAGCCTGGACCTTTTGGGAGGGGGGCATCAAAAGAGAAACTAAATGTTCCAAACAGAATGGAATAGCTGCAGCAAATCATAAGAAAAAAAAATCTTTTCTTACATCAAAGCATGAACACTGACACATTTGAATCCTGCCACAGAAATATTTAGATATTCACACCTTACAGTCTACAGATCACGTCCAATGAAGGTCACACTCTACTTTATCAACACTGTGAGGCTGTGCACGTGAACAGTGCGAGCATGTGCAGGTGTGCTGTATAAGATTGTGTAACTCAGTGCCGTGTAACCACTTAACCTGTCTGCTTGCTGGGGAAGCGTATTGATTTTCTCTGAATATGCAATGAGGTGGATATTTTAGGAGCTGAATGGTGTTGATGGGATTTTTGCATCATTATCACATTTTCTAACATCAATACGTTTGTTTGAAAGCATGAAACTCTACCCGGCGCAGAAATGCGAGTCATAAACATACTGAGCGTGTACATGAACCCCAGCCCATGAGCTTTGGCCCCTGTTGTAGTGCACCTAGCCTGAGGGCTGATGTTGCCAGGTTGGGTAAATAAATTAAAGCAACAAATTACGTTTAAAAGCTTCTCCCTCAGGCCAGGGAAAACTAAGATCCATTATTCATGGCTTTTACTGCCGGGAATTTAAAAACAGGTGTGTGTAAAAGTATGTGTGCTTTGGTATTTCTTTTTTTTTTGTTGTCAATAATTCAAAGATTAACCGCCCTTACCTCATCACATTATCTCGCTGATGAAATTGACTGCCACTTCCATTTTGATACCAGCTATGAAACCCCAACAGAGGCCACCGAGCCTTCTTTTTAACTCGCTGTAAATGGAGAGATTCTGGCCACAATCTATTCCAATAGATCTGACAATTGATATTTCCTTCACATTTGATTTAAGTTGACTTAAGTTTATAAGGATTTAATGGAGAGCTTTTTTTAATCTACACCGTAGAAGGAAAAAGATCCACGTGAGTTTTCAATGTTGCCTTTTGATATGATATATCTTTTTAGATGTTATTGGCTGATTCAAAACCTCAGAAAAATCTTAGTGATGAGTGGGTGAAGACAAGCTCGAAATCAAGTTTGAGAGATTGATCCTTCTATAATTCCACTTTTAAATAAGTGAATATTCCTCAACAAACAGTTCTAATCTAATCTTTTATCTATCAGAGTTCATTCTAATTATATATGTGTATACATGTATAGATAATTGATATAATTAGACTGTCTGAGCCCAGCACAAAGCTGCTGTGAACTGGCGTGTTAAATAGACTGTTAGCTTGGTTTTGCATGAAAGGAGAAAATAAGCCTCTAAGTCTCCATAATCTCTGCAATATTTCAAGGTTGGCCAAGAAATCATCACATAACATTTGCAAAATCCACAAAATATCATATTTAGTTATTGTGCTGGTTAAATAGACGAGAAATAACATGCTTTAGTGAGCTTTAGAGGTAATCATTTTATTAATCTAATTCACAATAAGAAAGCTAACCAGGCATTTCCTTCAATCATCAAATTCTTTCCGAGTTATGGAAAGTATCAAATCTGTAAAAGCTTTAGATATTCACCAAATACAAAACTACTGAAGAAAAGCCTTCTGTGCCAAATCATCATATACTGTAAATGCTGCTCAGTTAAAACTAGAAGGTGGACGCTGATATTTGAAATCCTTGAGTGTTTCCTTTTACACATCAAAAGGTTTTTTCTTTAACAACGCAGAGATAAAGACACTCATTGGTCAAGTGGTTTTCCTCTTTTTTTTTAATAGCGGATTTCCTACACTGCTTGAAGTTGTGGGCTTCTTTTTCTTCATCGTTCACCTGTTTTTAGCACGCCACGATTACTTTAAAAATATGTTTGTCTAAATCCATCTCATCTCCTTTCTGTTAAAATACAATACAATAAAATACGATACAACCACATACAATAAAACCACCTAATTCAGTGTAAGTTACTGAATCAAATCCCTGCTCCACTAATACTGTCCTGCACCCCAAAATATATCCATGTGGGCAGGTAAGGCCCGTCGTCAAGACAGCAAGTGCATGTTAATGCAGCACGTTGGACGAACCCAACTCAAATAGTTTGGCTGTTTAGTCCTAATCAATGGATGTTAATATCTAATACAACCAGGAAATAGCTCAATCTTTCCATATTGAGGAGTTTTTGGGCTGAAGGTAATCATAACAACTGGTAAAATATGAGCACCATCTTGTAAAAGGACTGGATTATAAACCCAAACAGGAAGTGATAGAAAGTGTTAGAGAGTTTTAAATTGAGGACATTCTATTGAGAAAATGTATGTCCTGACCTCACAGCACACGAAGGCTGGTGATTTAAATCAGGGTGCTTACTGCCCCCCCCCCCCCAGAACACTGAGCTGGATTTTCCTTTCTCCAGTTGTCAGGGCAGCATCTGACAGGAGCTGCCCAATTACAATTGCGCCCCTACGTTTTAGAGATATGTAATTCCTAAATCACTCTCACAATCATCGCCCTCCTATACAATCAGGACTCTGCTCTCAGCTGTCTGGGTTTCTCGGAATGAACTTTTATCGTCTTTATTTTAGTCTCTGCAGTTGCTACGCTTGGTCTGTTTGCTTGAAAAATGACATAAGGCTCAGTATACTTTGTGGAGAGATGGGAAATGTTCAAAGGAACAAAAACACTTAATTTTGATGTTCTTGCAATGTTCTGTCTGCTTTCCCTGGCATCAGTGTTTATTTACATGTCAGACATGTTTCTTTTAAATCCAAGCCAAGCTTTCAGTTTTAGTCTTTATTGATTCGATCTCAATTAACAATCTCCAGAAAAGAGCACATTGTGATTTAATGCACAACATCTTCTTCTTCATTCTGCTTCTCTTCTCTTTCAACCTCTTTCCTCCCTTTCATCTATGTCTCCATGCAGCTTTGAGCACCGTTCCGTTCTCCTCCTCCCTCCGCCTTCTCTTCCTTTAAAGCTCCTCTGAGTGGAAAGCTGAAAAACACAGGGTTGAGTTCATCAGTCTAAATTTTCCAAAGTGTACGCATTATTGGGTGGTAAATAATGCGTATGAAAGTCTACCGATTATAGTTATTTCTCATAGAGAAATAGTTCCTTGCATGCAGAAATGATGGATATTAACAATTACTGTTCTCCTGTGTGTAATGGTTTCTCTCCTTTTGTCTGCTGCTTGAACATCCTCTGTTTTTGTCAAACAAATACGGCTCACACTCATGATATAATCACGTGGAGTGATGTATCTTTTAGCTGCTTGCTGGTTATCTGATTGATGGAGACTGTAGGTCTAGGTAAATGAAAGTGAGCAAAAGAGTCAAAATGAATGTTTTTCATTGCAGATTCCTGGAAGAATTCTAAATGATAACTGAATGGAAACAGAGTGAGCTGTCTTCTTATCGTGTTGCATCAGAATAAGCATAGTCATCACCATACCTCCATTAGTTAATGAGAGCTGATAGTCTGATGGCTGCAAGTGAGAGTGATTTGAAGTATATAAATGCTGTGGCCTTCATGACGTGTTAGGTAGGACCATTTGTTAGTAATTATCATCATTTGATGGTTAATCAGTGTAAGGTGATGTTTTCTTACATGTGAGGGTTTCAGTTAGCTGATGAATACCTTCCTCTTCCTCATCAGGGGCAACCAAACTGATGACAAAGGTCCATATCATCTCCAACCAATCTGTGCTCTCCTGAGCTGTGACGTCACTATGAACAACAGCAGGGCTTGGTTTGACAAAACGGACCCCACCTAGAATAAATCAAAGTAGACATTAAGAGCACTCTGCTGTGTTTAATGTTTTGATATGATGCGATCATTTCAGTGCTTACATGCATTTATTTAGAAATAGGACTATAAGGTGAACATGCTGTGGCACAGACTGAAGGAGGAAATGACCAAAAACAGAATGCTTTTACTTTTAATGAAACTTCACCACTGATAGATAAGCTGCTTTTTTAATGGGAAAACTTTTCCGTTCCACTTCAGTTTAATGGGTGTTTTCAGGATGCGGCCCACGTCCCAGAAAAGACTTTATGTATGAAAATTATGTGAACGTGAGGGTGAGGTAGCATGAGACAGTCATTTAGTCCTTACTACATAACCTAAGCAGTTTAGATTTCTGTCTTTAGGAAGTGGTGGTAGTTTCTAAACCCAAACAGCTCGTGTAGCCACACACTGTGCCACATTGATTTGCCTCCAAGACAAGCAACAAAATCCGTAACCCAGCTATGATCATGTTCTAACCTTAGCTAAGTGATGTTATCGCTCCAACCCTAATAGGATCCCAATGATTGAGCCCCCCCCCCCCAACTGCTTTGATTTAATTTCCTTGAGTTTCCTTGAACCATAAACACAACAAGCAGGTCAGCTGAAACTGAGCTTTCTCCTTGCTCTCTGTGTGGATGGCATTCTCGCCTCAGCGCTTCATTATTTCATTCTGTGGAGCCCATGCCTCTTTCCAAAGAAATATTCTTTTGTTTCGTGAACATTTCCAACTTTTATTTTTCACATTTCTTTCCACTGAGCCCATATCAGTTCAGAGGGCAGTGTATCCAGAAATCATCTTGTACGTTGCTACTGAAAGGAGCTGCAACTTGAACCATGTCAAACTGCATCTCTTCCTTTTAACTTGTCTATTTTTTCACATTCAAACTCATCAAGGGCAGTTCCATTCAGTTTGGACCTTGAAAACTTAGAGACTATTTCTTAATCAGCGTTTAGAGGAACACTGGCTTGCAGGGAGATGGTTTTTAGTTTTTGCCTTGGCCATGCTTGCCAATTATTTTCTCCTCAAGTAGCGCACTGTTTTACTTCTATTGTCCAGATTCAGTATTGAAAACTCAATTATGCCAAGCAGCACAGTGAGCATTTATCTCCATCTAAGTATGATGAAAGGCTCTAAGACATCTGTCATTTTGGCTGTGAACAATAGGTTGCTTCAAACGCTCTATCTGTGTATATATAAAATACAATTTATATCGTAAAGGCAAGAATACAGCTCGCTATGCACCTCCTGTGTTTTAACACATTTGGTAAGATGCATCATTTGCACAGAGAAAGAATGCTCTGTACAGAAAATGTATGTGTATTACATGTATATATTACATATATGGATGTGTGTATCCATACAGCTGCTTGACAGTACCATTATGATTTAGGCAATCATGAAATTAAATCACAAATATCCCAGTTCAGCTTGTATTAACATAAATGCATATAAGACAGTAATGCTATACAGATTTGAATTTATATGGGTATAAATTATGATTTATTTAAGCTTACCTTTAGTCTTCAAACCTCTCTTGGCAATAGCAGATGGAGGAGGGAGGCCTGATGAGGAGAGACACAAAAATATAACATTAACAGAGATTTTATGATGTAAGGATCAGGTCTGTGAGAGAGAAGGGGAAAAACAGAAAAGACTAAGAGGAAAAAACACATGTGACAGACAGAAAATCCATAAAGAGAGTCATACTAAAATGATCAGAAACCCCCATCTCACTGCATGTTTTAACAGCCACGGCCACAAGCAGCCCTCACAACTTAATCAGTTATGATTAAAAAATGGCCTCAAATAAAAAGCACCCCTTTCAGACATGTTAGGACTTGTCTTTTCCATGATGCAGAGGACATGCTGGATAAAAAAAACACAGCAAGAAACAGCAGCACAAACACAGTTCAAGCATAACAGGGACTGAGCATCTCGATCGATTTTACCTGTTCTTCCACCATCTCTGACTTTGTCTGTATAGATATGAGCAAGTGTCACTCACAGACTTCTCCATCACGGGGGTGTACAAAATCAAACATATGGATAGAAAATGTGCTGGTGGACTTTCTTTAAAAGCACACATCATAAATGATCCTTGCAGATCATCCAGTAGCCTGCCTTGAACCAGTTGTTTATATCACTCTTTAAATCAACACAATGGCCCATTTGATGGATCGCTTGCTCCCATCCTTTTAACAGCAAAACAGCTGGAGAACACCTACAACAAAATTCATTAGTAGCATAAAAAAGCAGACTGAATCAGTGACTGCAGAACTTGTTTTTTAAGGACTTCATTGGGACTTATAATTACACTTGGCTGATCACATATTACTATTAATTGACTATTCTAAATGATCATTAGTGTGTGTGGTTATCTGTGTGTGTTAGCTTCACTGACTGTTTGTCCTCTTGCAGCTGGTGTGTTAGTCCCTAACCAAAACGACTGCAATGAAAGATGTACGGAGCTGAGCATTTCCTCATTAATATTCACATGAACACTGTGATTTCCATTCCTATAAAAAAAAATTAGTAGAAAACTCAGTTTCAAAGAGCCGGGTAGGATTGAATGATAGAGCCTTACTCTTCCAGCTTTTCAGCTTTAGCTTTTTGCTTTTTACTTTTGCAGCACGGTGCTGCACATGGTCAGAGAGGCCTTGCAATGTTCCTGTTAAACACCTTTACCTCCATTTGAGCCTGGCTTTGTGTCACAGGCTGCTTCATCTATCATTAAACACTAATCCCATATCAGTTTCATGTTTACTGAACTGCAGCAGTGAGCTTGAACATAATTAGGACGGCGTGTAAAAGGTTCAGCACAGATACAAACTGTTGTGTCAGAATCTGTCTGTGATAGACAAAATGGCTTTTCCTTTTGGAGTCAGAGTTTTGCATTCTGAGAGACGAGGTACTGTGACATTCTTCATCTGTGCGTGTGTTATGATAACTGTCATCTCTAAAGTGCTAAATGCATTGTTTTGGTTTTCTCTGCAAATCTCTTTAATTTTCCCTCCACCAGATGGAAGATGCTTTTTGCATGTTTCTCTCCCAATGTGGAGGAGTTTCAGAAGCTAATGCAGCCTCATAAACAACTGATTAATGCACTGACATTTCTTTGATTGGCACTCCACATACAAAGCCAGAGAAACCAGGAATAGGCGGCAACAATTTCCCCTTGGTAATTGCCTGACTTCAATTTATTGTTGTTACTTAGTCATTAAGTCTGTTCTCTATTCTTTCTGCATCCCAAACAGTGGTCCTTTCCTCTCTGTTATCTCTTTAAATTTATTCGGTGTCACATTTTTACTTTTATGTCTCTTACCCTCCCATCTACTTTTCTTTTTTTTTTAGCAGTTGTGCAGGCATTTTAGGGGGCATAAACAAAAGGGAAGAAAAATACAGATTCTGCCAGAGATGGAAAAATAAACCCACTCAGGCTGTGAATAAACCCTCAGAAAGAAATGCGTTTACAGAGAGACACATCTGTGCCCATTGAGAGCTGTTAAATGATGCACGTTTTCTTGTCTGCCTATCCTTTAATGGGAAACTGGTAACATGCAAACACCTTAAAATTCCACTGTTAATACTTGAACAAGAAAATAACTACCATTCAGCCATGTTTTCCAACTGTCCGCATTGAATTTTTCCCTTTTAAAGAGAATCATTTGTACTCTTTTCCTGCTCACTGACTGATATCCTGCTATTCTCTTTAATCCCTTTGCTCAGATTCACCAGAATTAATGTTTTTTACTATACGTCTTTGCTTATGTGTGTATCTTTATCCTCCTTTTGCTATTAGACACACACACACGGCTCTGTTTTATTTTCAGGGCCAGCTATTGGCGTAATGTAATCATTGTGGTAGATATAAGTATAATATATCATAGATATTTTATACATAAAATATTATTCCTACATAAAATATGCCAGTACAAAGAAACATGACTAAAAATGCTGCACGTCTTTTCTCTTACCGCCTGAGAATTTAAACCCATTTATTTCAGAGGAAAATTCCTTCTTGACTTCATTTCTCCTACCAATGTTTTTATTTGTTTTCTGCCCTCTAAATTGGACAAAAGATTCCATTTAATATCCTAACGGGTTGGCAGTAAAAACGACTCCAGGAGCCAAACTACCAGCAGGAAAAAAACATAGATGAAAATAAATGCACAAGTGCAGCTCCACCGTGTTAAAACAGGCAAATTGAAAAAGAAAAAGAACAGATTTAATTGCAGGACGTAAAGGTGAGGAGATGCCGCCACACAGGACACGAGAGGCTCAAAGGGGTAAAGCAACAGCAAAAGTTTTTGATAGAAGAGTTGTATGTCATGTCAACCATCAGAAGTGAAAAATGAAAACTAAAACAGGAGGAGAAAAACGGTGAAACTCAAGCACGAGTCTCTCTCTTTAGAGTTTCTACCTGCCCAGCCCTTCAGCTTCCCTATGAGGTTCTTTATATATTTTTAAGAAGAAAGTACAACTGGATGAGATTATCCTGTTGGTGAATTAGCCAGTGCAACATTAGCAAAACCAAACTGTAGAGCCGCTACCCTGTGTGTTAAAAGTAGCTGTGGAGACGCACCTCATACATAGACTCTTTATTATGTGTGGTAAGTAATGAGAATGCTTACTGAACATATTTTGTATATATCACTGATTTTTTTCTTTCCTCTTTTGGCAATATGGCAGTTTCTTTCCTGGTTTGACTGAGTTGAAGATGTTGCTCTGGTATTTTGCGGAGTTTGCATACTGTGGAAGATTTTTGGACTGCTTTAGTGCTGATTTACCCTTTAGCAAGCCCAGGAGTTTAGAGGGACGTCTTTTGGACGGAAGCCTGCACGTCTGAGTTAGAGGTGTTACATGCAGCACTCTGGAGCCAAGCAGTGCAGTCACAATGTGGTTTAATCTGTTGTTTTTACCAGGTGATAGACACACGGGGTCGTCACAGTATGATGTGTAGTCTTTGGATGGGATGGCAGATGATTGACAGCATGAGGATGGAGAGGTCATGAAGGGGAGGGAGGTGAAGAAAGAAGGAAAGTGAAGAAAGGAGTTAAAGATGGGAGGGGCAGGAGTATCTCTACAACGTAGGATAATCCAAATACACTGAGAAGTGTAGTGGGGGGGAGTGGTAAAGGAGAGATGCGGGTACAATCGATAGAAAGGCCTTTATGGCAGTGAACTAAATGCACACTAAAACACAAATCGATTGATTTGTTTGGTGAAGGGAAGATCTGTTTGTTGTGTTTGTTTCATGTTTGAGTAAAACGGCTGCAGAGATTTATGCTGAACATGTTTTATGGCTGAGACAGTGGCTACTTTAAATGTGTCAAATGTGTGAGGATCAGAGGTTTTGAGTCTTCCACTGGCGTCTGAAGCAGTCTGTCTGAACTGTACAGTGAAAGGCTTTAAAGGGGAACCAAAGACCTTTATATTTCAACATGTTTCCCAGCTGTCTAACCATCATCTGATCCGAATGCTTTTTCACCTCTTGATTCTTCCAACCTGTGAGGGTCACATACGCCCATTTTGTCAAAACTGTCAAAACTGTGTATTTTCATGTCTGTATTTCAAGCACTAGATTTTCTGTAGTCAAGAAACTGTGGTTACCAAGCCAAACCAAGAAGGTTTGATGCCTACAACTAAGCAGGAAAGAGCAAACAGCCAAACGTCAGACTAAACAACAACTGCACCTGAAATCTAAGTCAAGAAGTAAAGAGGGAACTGTGCCAGAACGGTTTAGCTCAAAAGGTTGAATTATTCAGATAAAATGAGTTGGTCCTACTGTTGTGTTTAACAGCTAATAATCTACCAACTGCCTTTTAAATGCCACTGCATAACGTGTCCCACTGTGTCAAGACATGACTAAACCTCAACATCAAGTGAGAAAATGTTTGACAAGGAGATCTTCATTCTCTCATTAACTTAAAGCATCTTAACTTCCTTTACTGTTATCACACAGCTCCTGACTTATTAAAATATAATCACAGAAAAGCAAATGTGACCACTCCCATCAGTTAATCTCCGAATTGGGCTGAGTCTAGATTTATGACAAATAAAAATAGAGTTTGGTTTCTGTAGGAATATAGGAGCAATGCGTACATGTTCACATAAACCAGATCTCATATTACTTAAAGCTATTTGTTGTATATAAGCCATGTAACTGTTATTAGTATGCATTTTCACACCAGGAGGTACCCTTTCAATCCATTTTACCAGTGTATGAGTCAGACATTAAAAAGAAAATGAGGGGGTGTGTAAAATCCTCAGTATGCACACAGCTCCTGTGCTGGTACATAAACTGCCAAGATGTGGCCTTATTATTGTTATAGTCGGTCTGAACATGTGAGTTTGACAGATGGATTCTTGAATATGGAGAAAAGTGTGTCATTTACAAAGCATCTGCCTGTAAAAGTAGGTGGGAAACACACGGCAAGTCCCTACAAATACATCAGAAGGAGACCTTAGAGTATGTGTCCAATAACTTGTCACACAGATGCTGTTGGTAAATGACAACCTTCCTGTGAGTACGTCCACTTTTGAAGCCTGCTTCAAAAATGCCTTGAAGGTTTTTTGGGTGAAAAAATGGATGTCTGTCTGAAGTGTGAAAAATGGATAATGCAGGAGTGGAGAGAAAGTGTTGAACAGGTGTTGTAGAAGCTTACAACAACCACATTAGAATCACATTTTCGATGGAGTTGGAAACATTCTAAAAGGGCAGGAAATGCTAATCATAGCAGGTAAAAGTGAGATAATATGAAATTCAAGAAAATAGAAGGAAATGCAAACGAAGAGAAAATGTCACCGTTACTTTTACCTGCGAGAGTTTTATAATCAAGAAGATCAAACAGAACGATGGCCACTCCCAACCATGTGATGATCAGGGCCACAACCAGAAGCCAGGCCATCGGAGAGCTGAAGGTCAGAATGACATCATCCACAAATGTCCTCTGATTGGACCGAGACGGAGGGGCCGCCTCCTCGCCGTTCTTCTGGCTCATTGGTGAACGGAGCTGGAGACAGATAGAGAAATTAAACACAGAAAAACCAAAAAAATAACAGAGATTGGAGGGGGAAGAATAAGATGGAATAAGATAGAATTTTCTAAATAGCAAAGAACCAGTCAAGTTGTGAGAGGGCTTTGCATGAGCTGTCGCTCCCACGAGTTCTTTTCTCTGCAAGTTTCAGCTCCAGCTACTGCAGACGGCCGGCTTTGTTCCACCCCGGAGGGATGTTCCACGCTGCCTGTCAACTCTTTGCTCCCGTCAACAAACAGTTGTCCTCTTGTCCAAAAAGTAGTGTGACAGTTTGTGCTTGTGAATTGTGAGACGCCAACGCATCCAGATGTGACTGCATCTGTTGCTGGCATTCGCGTGAAACTACAGGAATTGGCAAGACAAATATCAAAAGGTCATCACCATGTGAATGTTTCGAAGAGTCCAGCCATGTCTGGTGACCAGCAGACATGGCCGTTGACTTGAATTTGAGTCCTAACCACACACTTTGAACTCCGAACTCTAAAAAAACAATAAGTTCAACGCATAGCAGGAACGGAAGGTGCTGTGAGTGGGAGGGAAGTAGGATGTGCCCCCCCTCCACCTCATAATCAAAACCTTGGCTGCATATGTGTGGGAAGCAGAGTCAGGTAGGCAGTAAAATTGCAATTTTCTTGGTGAAACCATAACATTTTGAGCTGCAGACCAATTTAGACCAATACATTTATGTGAAATTGGGCTGACTCAGACAACTGATGACATTCAGAACTTAAGTGCAAGGGGGCAGTTGAATGCTCCAACAGTGGATTTGACTCAGTTGCTTGTTTATTATGTTTCTCAAACAGCTCAGCTCCACAGCTTATTATCTTTTCATATAGGTCTCAGATTGTTATGCAATTTATTTGAAGACTATTGACACGAAGACATATGAAGAAATGTTCTATTGGCTGACTTCTGCACAGCGAGATCCTCTTTTTAACACGTTATTATACAAAATGATGTTGTTGACGTGGTGCATGCATACCATATGAAATAACACAGGCTTCCTCCCACCACAAATTCACGACCAAAGCCAAATTTATCCAGCCTCAATCTGCGCTATCAGAAATATCAACAGCGTGATGCATACTCACAGAGGCTGCTTATTTACGCAGATGCCGGTGACTCATCAGTGTGTGTTCTGTTTGGCTGCGTGAGGGTGAGAATAAGAGATGAGAGAGGAATGTGAGGGAGCGGGGTTAGAGTGGGAGAGGATAATGAAAGAGAAAGACGCACAGAGGAGATGAGGAGATTATATCTGGGCTACGAGACAAATTACTTCTCCAAAGAAAGTTTTCATCATTGTAAGCCAGAGGAGCCATGCTCCAATAACATGATTAGGTGCCCGTGTTTGCTTGTTTGTGTTCAATATGCACCGCTTGAGCTGATTTATTCTGCTCTCCCTTTCTGTGCCCGACTTTTGCGTTGCATATCGGCAAATACGAAAGCGATAGTTACTCTGACGGCTGCAGATCCATGTGAGTGCTGCTCTGTTAGGGTCCAGGCCATTATGACTCTTTTATGTAGAAATTCACAGTATAGACTTAATGGAAGTGTTGGCAGGGTTTCTGATCACATACCTACCTCAAAGCACCATTCAGCTCACCATTTCCTTTATTGCTTCCCTTGCATTCATGTAAATTTAATCAAGCCATTTTTATATGCTAGCTATTTCCTGTTCTATGGTTCACAGAATCATGTTAAAAACAGAGAAGCACCTCTTTTCGAGGCTGTTTACGTAGCCGATCTGTTTGTTTAATCACAGTAGAAAACAGAAGTTGCAGACAAAACCGTTGGCTTTCAGAGCTCTGAGCTCTCTAACCTCACAGAAACCACACGATGCTGCCCATTACCTGAGCAGGTTTGAAAATGAGACAAGTACAACCTCCCATGAACAGCGACTCTAAGTGCAGAAGCAGCACAGTTACAAAACCTTCCAGGTGTGGACATCCCAGGAAGTTCACCCCAAGGACAGACTGTTCAGTGCTCAGAAAAAACTGTGAAAAGCTCCAGAGCTCCACACATATAAGCTGTGTATTTCTGTCCTCACACTACGACAGCTTCCTTGGTCGACCTGTCCATTTCGCCTATTTAACATTCCTATTTTAGTTCATCCATGTTCCAAATTTAACACACAGCTGACTGGGACTGAGTTGAACCACCTTTTTGTTTTTGGAGAAGGTTTAGAATCCCTTCCATTCTCTCCCCTGACAGCCCACTTGCTGGGGCTGTGCTTCCTGTCAGTCAGCCAGGTGCCACAGCTCATAGAGCTTCGGAAGTACACTCTCTTTTAAATGCACACTCATTTGCATTCCCTCTTTATACTCATGCAGGTATTTGTTTTCGAAATGCAAATCAACAGTAAATTACAACATTTTCATTATTCTGGGCTGCTTTACAGAGACATAATGTTCAGCTGAGGAGTTTTAGAGTCTTATCTGTGATTTTTCACAACCAAAACTAAAACAACTGCATGAATATCCTTCAAGGCTGTCAGGTCCATAATTCTTTGTGAGGTTCTTTCATACAGTAACAACTTGCTGCACAAAGCAGGAGGTATATGGTAGGACCAGACAACACAGTTAGGAGGAAAGAAAAATGTGTATCAGTCAAACTACACGGTGGAGTTAATTCAGGGCGGCTGTAGAATTTAATGGGGAGAATTGACGTGTTTTGATTCAGCAGTTGCTCTCAGACTGACCTTTTTGTTGCTGCATTCAGTTAACAAACTGCAAAATCAATTTAACATAATTCTACTCTCACCCACTCCGATGGGCATTTGTGTGTGCGTCGGATTCAAGAAAGCATCGATCTGCTAAACAACGGCCGGCGTGTGTGTTAAATCATAGACAGAGGCTCAAAGTGCCCGAGCCGGGGCGTACCAGCATCTATCCAATATAAAAGCAGGCCATTGATCAAGCCATGCCTCGGCCACAGCTCGTCAGACCAACATATTGATCAGCTGCAGGTAAAGCAGCCACAACCTTTAGATTGATAGACGACCGGACGATCACAAATTCTCATCCACAGTGCAGCTCTCCAATGTTTCGTATAGTTTTACAGTCCGGAAGCGTTTTCCCTCCCTAATAAGTCTGACCTCTTTTCAAGTTAAAATGACCCAGCCCACCTGTTGTTACTATTAAGTGCTGAGCTTATCTTCACACACTCACAGAGACCAACTGCTGCGGCCTCCTCCACACCAGAGGAATGGACAGAATTAGAACAATGTGGGTGCAGGCTATGAACTGGCATTTGAGGGCAAATGAAAGGCAGCAGAGCTGAGTTGAAACTGTGAGTCACTAAATGCTGAAAGAGGTATGTAAGCTTTCCAGCAAGTTGGCATGGGGATGCTTAATAAGTACAGAAAGATGTCAGTAAAATGACTCTATTTGTGTTCCAATAGGTATGAAACCTTTTTTTCCCCAAACAGAGCTTATCTGTTTAATATAATTGTTTTCCTCATTACTATTAGCATATAAAACATATGCTATGAATTTATTGTACCCTAATTTTCTGCAAAATCAGCCCTTTTACTTACTTTACTGATGATACCTCTGAACTTAAGCTAAATAATAGTATGAATCCATGACTTTCGTTTGCATCCAAGTATTTTTCCTTCCCTGTGTTTGGAGTTTAGCTGTAAAAGATCATTGTTGAACATGGAGCCTCCACCATTGATCATTGTTATCTGCTTAGCACAGAAACCCACCACACTGAACACAAATACAGCCAATTTCCTTGTACGAGACAAAGCTGATAAAACTCGTCCGTGTTTACCTTGTGCTCTAACTTGCAGTGCATATTATTTATGTGCCCAAATACAGAGCGGTGATTAACACATGAATCATGCTTGGTTGTTACATTTTTACAAATGACATAATAGTGATGATGGTTATTTTCTGGCTCTTCTTTCTTATACACGAAGAAAAAAGAGCCAAATAAAGAAGTGCAAAAAGCTCATAATTGTTCATTTCAGCATCAAAGTGAATTCTTTCAAATGCAGTATTTTTACTCCCCCCCCCCTTTCAGATGTGTATGTGGAGACCACTGCTAACCCAAGAAGCATAAAGTGAGAAAAAACTGAACTGAAAAACACATTTTTCTTTTGAAATACTGACTACTTTGAACTCTTCCTCCTTTGGAAATATCACATTTTGCTTGCTTTTCATGATGTCAGAAGCCTTAAAGGATAGAGCCACAGGTTTTGATGGTGAAAATGGTGCTGAAGACCATTTTATTGTTCTAACCACGGTCTATCTGCAAAATCGTTCCTGTTTCTAATCCCTTTCGATGTGATAGTGCTAATTAGCTTGCTGGACAAATAGATTTGTACAGAATTACGCATTATAGGGGAATCTTTCTTGCCATGTTATAAGCCTTGTTCTTGTAAGTGAGAAATTGTTGTGTAAGACAAATGGCTGTCCTATACTGACAGCTTCTGGCAGGTTTTTGATGTGTCAACAATAGAAAAATCCATCAGAAGTTAGCACTGATGCTGTTGGTATCAATTATATCAGAACCCAAGGGTATTTCTACACTGAGAGAAAGCTACAACAACACCATAGGCTTTTGTTGCTTTTCTTCTAACAAGCTTAGAATTCGACGCACCACTTTGTTGATCTGATTTTTAAAATTTGGCCGTGTTCTTTAAAGCCATTAATTTCATGCCTGTTTAATTACAATATTTAAGAAATAAGATTTTTAAGACCACTTTTAAATGTATATATCGCTAAACAAAGTCATAGAATAGTTACCACAAGCTCTACAGACCACAGAACAAATCCTCTTGCAGCTTTTATAGATAAAATGTATACTATTACTCACTGCTGGCCTTTGTGAGATATTCTAAATGACAATGAGAAAGAATAACTGCATAAACTGTGCAGTGGCCCTCGGGTTTCAGACACACTGGTATCAGATCATTATTGTAAAGTTCAGCCAGAGTGAAATGGATTTTTTAAGTACCTTAGTCTTTGAGTCTGCTGGATGTTCACTGATAACCTTTGGTCCTTCAGTGGTTCTGGAAAGGCTGGGTAACCATAGAAACACACATTTAACTCCTTTGTTAAATCCTTTTGGCCCCCACTTGATTGTGAGAGGACAACGTTCTGTACGCAGCGAAAAGCATGCAACAGTTGTCTTAGGCTGGATCACAGCACCTCTAAAAATACACTAAACATGTCCCCACAGGAGGAAATCCACTGAACTAGTCTTTGGTTTTATTGTCCCAGTTTTCTCTTTGAAGTTTCTTTGAAGGTTGCTGTTTTTGGCCAAGAAATGAATTCAAGGTTCCAGCGATTTTGATCTTCAAATCCTGAAGAGAGTGTGACAAAAAGGGAGAAACCAGCGGAGATGGAAGTCGAGCCTCTGAGTCACCCTGCCCCCTCTGAGGGTTCAAAATAGTGAGATAAAGAGGGGACGGGAGGGAGGAGGAGAGGAACCAAAGGGATGCAGTGAGATTATCGAAAGGAAAAGAAACCTGGTGAAAATGAGCAAATTATTGAAATCTGGGGAGGAGACAGAAAAGATGAAAGGACAGGATCGGGAGATAAAGGTCTGAGTCTCCTGTGCAATATGTCTAAAACACACAGAGCTTGTTAATCATGTTCTAATGATGGAGGCAACTGGGAGCAGCTAACAGCTGGTATTTAATCAGTGTTTTCTTTTCTCTGCAGCCCAATTCCCATTTTTTATTTCAACTAAACTGATATATTCACTTTAAAAATGATCCAGCTATTTAGTTAGTTTCTGCGTCTTAAAGAAGTTCAAGACTTAGAGTATTCCCAAACTGAATCTTACAACCGTCCTTCATGGATATCAGACACAGCCCAATGTGTTTCTATGGCTTGTCAGATGCTTTTATAAAGGTCCATGGTGTGTATGTAAGTGTGTTTATGATTGAGAGCTTTGGTAAGGAGTAACCTGACCCCCAGTCTTGCCCTGGGAGCCTGCACAGCAGAGGCTATAATTAGAGATACAGACAGCAGCTGGTGTTAACATTGGACTGGACTGCTTTAAATGTAGGGCGCACACGGGGGGCTGAGAAACATAGCACACACAGGCAACAGAACACACAAATCCACATCCCTTCTTCATGTGTACGGCCTGCAGGTTTAAGTGAAAGCACACAAATACCGTACAAGACTGTCTGTCTACGTGCTTTTGGAGGAAGAGAAGCTGAGCTTCACATTTTGAATTCACTACAACAACATTCCCATTAAAACAGAAACTAGCTTAATCAACAACTGAAAGTTGCAGACAATAAATGATATTAGGATGGTTTGAAATAAGAGGTCACCATTCTAAAACTCCAATTTTTATTCAGAATGGTTGTTATTTAAATGCTTCGTAGGCACATAGTTATTATGGAGAGACTATTCCAATCTGGACAGAGGATAGACATATTTCAAAGGAGGTGTTTTCTCAGATTAACTTCCTTTTTAAGGGCAGTGATATCCAACCAAAACATTGCGATCAAATCTCCTCCTTAATTGAGACAAAGCCATAAGAGAATTATATAATAAGTGGTTAACTGATCAATCATGTGGAGGCTAAATGTCTATTTTGCATTTCCCGTTTAACATTCCCATTTCTTTTTTTGGTGGATGTGTGAGTACATCTGTCCATAAACTGATTCTAAACTAAATAAAGACACATCTGACAAGATAACAGCCCTGACCATAGAAATTTCATGCCAAAGGATTAATTGAACACAAGTGTGGAAATGGAACGACCCGAGACAAAATCCACCCAAATCTTTGCGCTGAGGCTTTTCTCTTTGGAAGAATGGGCAAAACTTCCACAAAAGAGAAGTTTGGTGTGCAGATTTTACTGCCAAAGAGGTTCAGATAAGAGCAGCCAAGGCTGACAAGCATTTGCCTCTGGCAGGCTAGTTATACTGTGTCACCAATAAACAATACCTCCTTTTTTGACTGCCTTTTTTTGGTATTGTTTGTGCGTCGGAAGATGTCAGAATTATGCAGAAATTGAAATAACCATTCCAATTCACTGTGTTTCAGATATACTCCTTTGGTTGCTATGCTGAATATTCCTGCTAATAACCTCTCTCGTGAGAGATTTAACCAACCATTCAGATAAATTCTGATGAAACTCAAAGCAACAACCAGAAAATAGTCATGTGTCTGCACTGCAGTACACAATTAGAGAATGTGGATGTACTGTACATGGCTGTAGATTCTGAGAGAAACACACGGCATCTCTTTTTTTCCCACCCCCATTTCAAAGTGAGAGAGATATGCCTTTTTTGGTCAGCAGAGTGCGGTTAGGAGCTGATCCGCCACCGATACATCTCCAGGCTGGCACCAGCGGTAGTGAGAGGCGAAACAGATCTCGTGTGTAGAGAGAGTAGGGATGCTGTAAAATCCCGATAATGCCTGCTACACTGACCATACTGTGTATGGTGTCACCAAGATTAAAACACGGCCACACTGGTACAATTGCATGAAGAGAGAGACTCTCCTTTGCATCTCTGCCTGTTTATCATGCTACAGAACGTACCAGGTAATACAAATTCAATACCTGGTGCACCCCCTTTTAAGATGTAGGTCAGTCACTTGAAGAGAAGAACTAATTATTCTCAGGGGTTATAAAACTAATGTCAGACAATCATGCTCAAATATGAGGCGTAATGTGACTATCAGGGACTTACTGCAGATTTTTATTGCTTCTCTGGCTCTGACAGAGGTCAGAACATCGAAGTCTAACCCTGCTTCTTGCTGACCACGTCTCGAGAGAAAAGGTCACATTTGAGGCCTTAAAGAGCCGTGACCAAGAAGTTCTCCAATGTCTGAATGGTCTCAACTTAAGTTTATAGAACAGGCCTTTAGTTTCTAATGCTCCTTTGATGTAGACCGCTAAGTTGGAGAATCATTGCTACAATGCAGGATACATAAAATATCTAAAATCTAAAAAGGGAGCAAACATTCACGCATCCACTGTTTTTTTGTTGTTTTTATTTGTATACCTTTCTTATTCCAAGTGAGGAAATAAAGGAAATAAGAATGGTTTTTAAGGTCATGGATTTTTAGGTGGTTGCTTTTTTTTCTACTTAGTTTCATAAATAGTCTTAAAACCAATCACACATGGTTGTATGCCAGCAGTGTTTCGTCCAAATTAGCATGCAAGCAACCGACGCAACGAAGGTAAGAAGGATTACGATAATGATAATAGCTAAGCATTAGCATACTGGCACGCAAAGCACTCTGTAATTCTGCCTAAATGTGGTGTTCAGCTTAAAGTTCTTATGGAAATGAACAATTAAGTAGCGAGTTTACAGCAGTTAAGATATTGAAGTGTTAAAAAAATGAAAGTTTAAGAAGTTCCAGGCCAAAAGTCAGACCAAGGTTTTAAGACAATACAGGTGATGTTTACTGAATACCAGCAACAGAGAGCTTATGTGAGTAAAGATGTTGATTATCAGCTAAAACTAATATAATCATGCTGCAGGCAAGATCTTTCAGCTAATTCTTGTGTACTAAAAAATAAATGTTTAATTTGATTCGGAATTTGAATTTCTTATTTTTTTGCTGCTGAATATGTAAGTTTATCTGAATTTATTCTCATGTGTTGGTTGCTGCGTTCTGCTTTTGAGATCATACACATGAAATAATGAACATTTTCATATATACTTACACTTGTACAGTTATTTTAATACAATCCTATCTATCTATCTATCTATCTATCTATCTATCTATCTATCTATCTA